AGGCCGCAGCTCTCTGGCGCTCTCCCGTGAGCGTTCGCAACTTGCGAGCAAAGTTTGGAGGAGGAAGCGCCAAGCCTGAGTTCTTTCTTCCTCTCGCTCCCCAAATCCGAGGGTTGCCCGCGGCGTCATGTCCGCGCTCCCCAGCAGCCTGGGGTGCGTGTGAAGCCTCGGAGCCTTCGCGCCGGCCAGGATCCGAGGACCACTCTCCTTTTGGAGAGCCGGCTCGTCGCTGACTCCATCCTGACCCACGCCAGGCTCTGGGACGGCGCGGATCGCGGAGGAGCGTTGCCATTCAAGGTAATCGCCGTGCCGGACTCCTCCGGGAGCTTCGCCAGCCGCGAAGGTGGGCGCTGGGAGTCCTGCGCGCAGGGCGCACCGTCCCCTGGGTGGAAGGTGCCGGAGACCTGGCATTGTGGGGCGTTCTCCCTGTCATCTTCGGAGTAATAGGTGATGGAGGAGGTGGGTACGTAGTGATGGTCGGCGTTTGGGGAGTTCTGCTAGTAGCACCCCTTCCAGATTCTGACATCTGCCTGTGCCGCTGACACCCCTCCCTGTCAAACTCCAGCCGGCACCATCCTGCAGGCTGGGCGCGTTCCTTCCAGCTCAGAGCGGTGTGTGGGTGGCAAGCCCCGCAGGCCCGGGCTCCGGAGGGGCATCTTCGGGTGCCTCATTCTCAGGCTCAGAGAGCGTCCACCCTGACCCATCCTGGCCCCGGAGGGCCCCTTTCCAGGGAGACTCTGGGGTGGGGCCGGCGACTTTCCCGGAGGGGGTGGCACCTTTGGGGAGGTAGCTGCTCTGGTTCTGGATTTCGGTACCGGGTGCCCCTCGACTGCAGCAGCCGTCAGGAGCTCACAGCGCGCCTGGGGCTAGGGGGCGAGCTGGACCGACTTTTTCTTGTTCGCTTGCTTATTCTGTTCTTAGCCGCTCGGAGATGTTGAAAGCGCAGACGAGTTCTAACTTGCGCGCTCACTCTTTCAGGGCCTGGGCCGCGCCGGGAAATCGGCCGAGGGCTCTGCGTGGCGCTTGCTCCGACACTCGTGGGCTGGGAGGCAGGAGCAGGAGGCCAGCCTGGGGGCGACGAGTCTTCACCGCTCAGCTCGCAGCACTCTCCCCTGCAAACTCTGCCCGAAAATCTCCCTTCCTTTCCCCAGTTCAATAAAACCTATCCTTAAAGACAGACCTGCTTTCAAACTCAGGGCACCCATTGTGTGTTTGGTGTGAAACGCTATCAACATTTAAAACTCCATTGCCCCCTGGGTCCCAAATCCCTGTAAATCTTCCACCAGCCTCGACTCATTTTCATCTGAAAAGCCTGTTTAGTTTGAATAGAAAAGCAATCAGCCCCCCTTCCCTCTCGCTGGAATGTCAATTAAAATGCAGATTTCTCTGTGCTCTTTAGCGCCCCAAGAAGGGGGAAAAAAGCAGGATATTCCAGGCAAGCAAGTGAAGGAAATGCTACAAAGAAACTGTGGTTGTGGTGGTGATGAGCACTCCAAACTGCTTGTATTCCAAGCATCTTGAAGGGGTTATGACCCTGGATCAGTTTGTAAATTTTGAGATCTCAGTATGTTGAGGAATTTGCACCCCCAGACCTGACCTCTTGACAGCTCCCTGCTGTATCCAGCATTGGCTAGAAGCTGGGAGGCTGTGAGCAGTCAGATGCCACTGCGCTTAGGGCCAGCATCTCTGACCTTGCCTGGCGCTGCTGACTGTCCTGATGCAAAATCAACCTGGGGACTGGACACCAAGCACTCACCCAGAGGACAGGGACAGGCAGCCCCTTAGGCGCTTGGCAAGGTGGGCGGTGCACTGGCCTGCCTCTTAGGGTTTGGAGGTTTGAGAATGTTGTTGAGTGGAGGAGCTCAACACTGGCCTGGTGTGCGGACCACTCCTCAGCCTGCCTCTTTCCGTTGGCCATTTTGCCTGCCTTTGGGGCAGGCTTGTGTCGAGGTGAAAATGGACCGGAGGGGCCGGTGGCCGTGAAGAGCCATCCATCAGAGGGAGGGTGACAACTCCTCCTGCACATAGGATGAGAAGAGAGTTCCCTTTCAGGGGGAAAAATAAACACGCTGGGGCTTTCACTGGGGCTCAGACTCCAGGAAGGATTATGGTATTGAAGGCAGGAAGCTGGGATTGTGGCCGCCAGCAGCATGCTGGGCCTGTGTTCCCAACACCGAGCCTCGGGACCTAATTACCCTGCATAGGAGGTCGCACTACACTTTTGTCCACTGTAGTGAGGAGCTGTGCAGACCTGCTGCCTTTGGTCCCACCTTCTAGAGGTCAAAGGGGAGGGGGCTGCTGTGGGACCTGAGCCGGCAAGTACTGAAATTCGAGTTTCCAGTGCTCACGGTTGGGTGAAGGAACAGTTAGAGATTCATCCGAGGGTACTATCCACCTTTCTCTGAGCTAAGAAGGCTCAGCTGGGCTGGGTGAGGTGGCTGAGGAAGCAGGTTGGGCCAGACCTCCTGCTAGGACATAAGCTGTGTGTTATATTAGGTTGCTCCTGAGAGGCAGAAAATTTCCCTGCATTGTAGAAATGCTTAGTAAATTATGTTAGAAAGTTTATGTACCTTCCTCTCACATGTATGTAGAATTATCTGTTGAGGCTCATGACTGGAAGAGGAAAGCAGAGTTAGAGGAGAATCCTGGAAGCAATCTGGAACTCGGTACACACACACACACACACACACACACACACACACGCACGCTTTTCTGGCCTTTGTTGCCAGTCAGACCGTTTTACCTGTGCTTGCTTTAAGCAGTTTTCATAATTTCTCCTTTAGAAATAATTCATCCTTTTTGCCTGTACTTGTTGTAATATTTAGCCATGGCCAAAAGGAACTGTTTTTAGGGTAGAGCCCTGGTAGTGTTGAAGTCCTGTGTCATAATTTAAAACATCAAATCCATGTGGAAAGGGTGGGGTTTAGAGACTTTTTGTCTCACCCCACCCCAGTCTTAATGTTCATGTGGTTCACAGACTCTGAAACCCAAAGTTGCTGTACCTTTTCTCTTGAGCGCTTTAATCAAATTTTCTAACATTTGCGCATTTTGACTCAACATTTAGTCACAGAGGATGCTGATGAATTTTAAGCTATTTGAACTATTTTAAGCTTTCTTGGAAAAATCTCTTTGCCTTGATCAAATGGGTGAACAGAATAGTAAGTAGGGTGCTTCCTTATTGTATCTGCCACTTTGGAATTTTAGCCAATAGATTAGCATATTAAAAGTTACTGGGCCAATCACATACCACGACAACTTACGTATCATCATCATTGCTAGTAAACTCCTGCATTATTCATCAGGGTCTGCATCTGCTGTTTTTAACCTCCTTGACATAGGTTGAAGACATTTAGTAGGCCCAGCACTGTTATTTAGTTAGTGGAAGAGAATTTAGGCTTTGAGTCCCTTTTGGATCAGCTACTTTGAATATATTGCAGTTCTGTTCATTCTTTGTAAGTGGCTGCTTGGCTAGAGATTGAAGTACATGTTTGCATTTGATGATGAATCCTGACAAGTGTAAACTGGTGGGAATTTTTTGTAGCCGTACTGGGATTCTTTTGCTCTTGTGGGTCTCCCTTCTTCCTGAGAGCTGCAGTGCAGAGGGAGAGCATCTCCGCTGCAGCCCAGCTGAAACACAGGTCTGACTAAGCAGCTGCCTCTCCCCGAGAGCTCCTGAAAGCCCAGCTGGGCTGAGAGAAGTTCCTGAGGCTGGTTATGCCAACCCAATCATTTTTAACTTGCATTTGTAGTTGCCCTTGAAACTAAGGTCATGTTGCTTTTGCTTTTAGAGGGCGGTAGAGGGACAGTGGATAGAAGAAGAGTACACTTGCTTAACTGAAGTGGCTGCATATTTGGGTCTGCATTTTGAAGAGATGGTTTTATCTTTGTTTGTTTGTTTCTTTTTCTTTTTTCTTTTTTTTTTTTTTGATACTGGAGATCGAACTCAGATCCTTGCACTTGTGAGGCAGGCAGTGGAACCACTGAGCTAAATCCCTGGTCTTTAACGCTGTTTCTTAAAAGTATGCTTTTTAAAAGATTAGCCTGACCCTTCTTGTGGGCCAGGCTGGTGGAAACACCTGGGGCTCTGAGGTGAGGATGGAAGGCTTTTGCTGATAATGAAAAAGAACTCTGTTTGCACACATTTGAGAGGCTGAGAAACGGTTTTAGCCCATTTGGGTTTAAGTGAGCTGGCTCTGGGGAAGAAGATTTCACTGACTCACGGAATCTTTTTCTTTCAGTGGCGGCAGCAGTGGCAGCAGCAGCAAGTCCTGCAGCCAGTCCAGTAGCCAGCCCAGCCGCCACCACAGCGCCCTGGGTCCTGAGCCCCCCGAGGGCTGAAAGCATTGTGGGCAGTCCATGCTCCTAGAGGAAGTGTGCAGATGGGATTAACGTCCACATGGAGATATGGAAGAGGACCGGGGATTGGCACTGTAACCATGGTCAGCTGGGGTCGCTTCTTCGGCCTGGTTGTGATCACCATGGCAACCTTGTCCCTGGCCCGGCCCTCCTTCAATTTAGTTGAGGACACCACATTAGAGCCGGAAGGTAAGTTATTGAATTTTGCTTTCAAGGTACCAAGTTTGTTTGGGGGATTGTGTCGGGGAAGTGGCGCTTAATGGTGAGGCCTGTTTCAGAGCCAGCTGCCCCTGGCATTGTAGCTCAGGAGAGAGGGTTCTCACAGCTCTCCGCCAGCACGGAGATGGCGAGAGAAGGTGTTTGCTGCCAGATGGCCAGGAGAATGATGTAGTTTGGTGGTTTCTGAGTGGCTGCTTCTCTGTGCTGGGTGAGGGAGACAGTGGCAGCTCCCCATTAGCTGTGGAGGGATGAGTCTTGGGAAGCTGCCTGGCATCTGTAGCCTCCTGCAGGAGCTATTTTGTTGGAGGAGAGTCTTGCTCACGCTGTAAAGAATTACTATTTTATGACAAAACGAACCACTAAGGGAAGTTGCCAACATCTGAATGCTGACATTTTGTTTTCGCTGTTTAAGGAGAAAAGAAAGTTCTGAAGTTCAGCAGAGACTTGACATATTAAGACTTGAGAGCCATCCTAATTCATTATACTTCAGCAGTGTGCCACAGAGTGGCAGATTCTATTTTAAGGGGACTTGAAAATGAATATAGCAAGGAATCTCCAACATCTGTGAGAATTTCAGATTTTACAGGGCATGCCTGGGTGTTTGGTCATTGGAGACTTAATTGCAAAGGCAGAAGGCCTGTTGTGAGGACTACACAAGGTTGAAATACTCAGCCGGGCAATTCTGGAACCTCTCAGGAGACAGTGTTCCTTAGCCAAGCCTCCACTTGGTGCAGTATTGAAATCTGTCATCAGTAGGGAATATAGGTAGCTGAGTTATTTTTCTAGTGGTAATCTGAGAGTAAAACGGCAGATCCCAGCACTCATCGCCACTTAATGAACCTGTTTGCTGAGAGCCCACCTGGTGCCTGCTGGCTTTGGGAGCCCGACGTGGTCCCGAGTGGTGTCTGGGGTCAGCTGAGCTGCTGTGGGAATGCATGGTACTCACAGGACAGATGCCCAGAGGGGGTGGGCTGGGAGAGAGACGAGAGGCCCAGCTTCCTTAGCACAACCTGGACCGCCCACGGGGAGGACTACGCTCCCATCTGAGAGGAGAGAGAGCGTCTAGGAAGAACCTGTGCACCCATCACAACAAAGAATAAGGGCTGAGCCACCTATCGCTTGAAGCCTGTGAGTGAGATGGTGGCACTTCTGCTAACAAGGAGGCATTGGGGCTTTATAATGACCAGCTGTGGCTCCATTGAAAGGCCTACCAAGTCTCTGGAAAAGGGAATCTTGTAGGGGTTCTTGTTGAAGGCTTGTATCGGCTACGGCCCCAGACTCCTGTGAAATTGCCTCTTTGTGACTCGGGCTGTGACAGCGGGACTAGTGTAATTATCAGTGGTGATGCATTTTAAAATGGCTTAATGCGAGGGGGAAAGTTTCTGGTTTCTGAACGTCACGCCTGTACTTCTTTAATTTTGCTAATAATTAAAATGGACATTTCCCTAATTACTAGTCTTCCCCTGAGTCCATGGCTCAGCACAAACTGAGGAAGCTAAGCTGGGATTTCCTATAGAGTGAGCTTAGGGAATGGCCTAAGTTAGGGGAAAAAAAACCTGTCATTTTGCATTTGGGTGTATAAGGCAGCATTCATGTGAGTTTTTATCAATATAAAGTGTAAAATGGCCCTGGAGGATTTCTTTTCCCGCTTTTAATTATTGAAAGAAGTTTAAAATAATGTGTGTACGTACAGGCAGAGACAGGTGGATAGAGAAAGAAGTACAGTGGAAAGAGATGACGGCCCCCAAATTGTTCTTTGTATAAGAATTTATATCCAACAATGTGAGTATTGTTCACAGTGGGTCTTCCTGACTGGGGACCTGTGCATGCACTTAGGGGTCAGGGTGGAGGGCCATGAAGTCCCTGAAATTGTAAATCTTACTCTTCTCAGCATCCTTTTGTGCATTTTCCTGGGTTCATAGTTTCCCCCCAGAGTAATGAGGTGTTAAGAAAAAAAGAAAATGGTTAGAGAAATGTACGAAACTCCAAGAGGAGGGTTTGGAAAAGCACAGAAGCCCTGAACCCCAGTGTCCCTTTCTGTCACCTGGGGTTTGATATGATGATCTTTAGTCTGTGAATAATAATATTCTAAGAAGCCTTTTGACTGCTACCTCAAAAGGTTGTTGGATTTCAATTTGAACTGGACATATGGAGCAGTTAGCACAGGGTCTGGCATCTCATACGTACCTGGCGTGTGTTATTGTCATGAGTGTCCACAGTGAACTGGGAACGAGGATCTTCCCAGGCCGCTGGGCTGGCTGAGCCAGTTGCCAGTGTTGAGAAACAGATGCTTGAGAAGAAAGTTGCTCTTGGGTGGAGAAGGCAGTAACAGCTGTTCGGTAGGGTCTGTGCTTCCTTCATCAGCCCAATATCACCATGTGATTTGAGGCGTAGGGCTGGTTGGTTATCTGTTGAGTTTTGCTTTGGTGTCAGGTAATTAAAATTATAGGTGAGGAAGGAGTTTTCAACTGGGGGTGGCTGGAGCAGTTCTGACTTAGGTTCGTGTGTGTGTTTGTCCACCTCTGTGTCCACTGTGGTTATGTAACTATAGGTTTGGTTAACATTAAGTTTAGTTTTGACCTTCTAAGCCTTATCTTGGAGGACTTTTTGATTTGCTAATTGGGAAGCTAAGTTTAGATAATGTCTATTGAATGAGAGAAAAATGTGATTGTGAGGTTCCGGGAAAGATTCTGGGCCCCAACCCTAGGAAATGCTTTTCTTTTGGCCCTTTCAGGGAAAGGTTTTGTCCAGTCATTTGGTTTTGTACAATATCGGATCATACGTAATCATGCCATGACATGTGTCTTCAAATGGTATCATATCCTAGCATAAACTTATCTTCTTTATACTTTCTCAAGTGGTACCAGTGGGGTTGGGTCTACTCAGTTGACCTAAGACAATTTCCAGAAGATTTTAGTTGCTAATATTGCAGATTAAAGGTGATGATTTCCAATTGGCCAATCATTGTTATAGGGAACAGTGGAAAGGTATAAATGCAGTTGTGGATCTGAAGCGGGGAGGTCCTTAGTGCCTTAACATTGATTCATATTTTCAATGTTTAGAATATAGTCAAGCTTGATTACAGAGGAGGGGACTCTTACTTTCAAATTCTCCCTGACATTGTCACCTACTTTAGTTAATTAAGTCATTGTTGACATTAAGGGAATCTTTGTTTATACCAGCCCAGGAGGGGCTAAAAGGGCTTTTTCAACCCCACACCCTTACTTTCCCACTCTCCACAAAGTGTGATTTTGAAAAGCAACAACCTGGGGAGAAGAATGCTTAGTTGGCATGCTTTTTTTAAAAAAAAAATTTTTTTTTGGCAGTCTTCTGAGTAGGGGATGAATGATGCTGTCCTGGACCAGGTGGAGTTGGTCCCAAGTTCAATAGCAGCAAAACTGAGCAAGGGATCTGCATGGAGACTTCCCTAAGTCACATATTCCCAGTGTGGTTTAAGGCCTTTGTCAGAAGTACTATAAATGCCATAGTATCAGCCATACGCATTTAATTGCAAGTTAGAAGAAAAGAAAGGAAAAAGGAATATATCCGCATACCAAGAGGGAATGATTTAAAATAATCTTCTGTTTTGTATTATCTGCATCTTTGTTCCTCAGTATGAGTGTTAATATTTAAGAGTTGACTGTAACTTGATAGTTTAGGTACAGGGACTTATTCTTGGTCAATTAAACCAAATGCAGGCTTATGCAGTTAAATACACAATGAAGAACACATTCTTTATTAGTATATGAATTATTTCACAATTCGTAGACAAAGAGCTGTGTTTCATTTTATTTCTAGAGGAAAAATCTGGCAAGCCCAGATAAATGGTATTTGTATAAATTTCTATACTGGCTCCTTCTAATCTGAATTTGGGATGCCTGTGTTTTGCTTGTTTTTTTTTTAACAGTTAAAACTCTGAACACATATACAAAAGGACCTCCCACCAAACCATGCTTGAGGCTTTTGGGCCCCTCTCCTTATTGATGGTGAGAATTCAACTTACTAGAGCAGCCTGAGATGAGATGTTTTTAATAGCAGACGTAATGAGTAATGGGTTATGAAGAGAGTGGAAAAGTGTTTCAACAGGAAGAGTTTGTTGCACACTCACACTCTCAATATGTAGCCTTCCCACCTGCAGATTGTTGTTTGTTTGGCTGCTTACTTAGCCAGAGTGATTGTTAAAAGCCTACTAGCTTCCTTTCATCAGAGTCTGCCTTACTTACCATTTCCATTTAAGCTAATTTTAGTCTTTAAGGAAAGCGTGGGAAGTGGATTTGAAGGTTTTAGTGTGTCACATACTACACCACTGACAGCTTTCCACGCCATTGGTTTGGTTCTTAGCTAGGTACCTACCCTGTCTGGTAGGCAATCAGGAATTATTTTTTGGGACGGCAGTTAAATAATGCAGTTAAGTGCATTATTTTTTGGGTTGGAGGCTATTGAACATTTAATTTGGTTGTTTGTGGCTGTGCAGACATTTCCATTCTGTCTTTCTTTCTTTCCTCGAGAGATGACTTCAGCCTGAGGTTTTTGTAGTCTTATCCTTTTGTTTTATCCCAAGCGAGATTAGGAGAGGGTTCTACCTTGTCACCTCTGCTAGCTCTGAAGTGCTCTCCTGCCACACCCGCCTTAGTTCACTTCTTAGCGTAGCTTCCTTTAACTGGTAGTGTTAGTGTTTCCTTTGTGAGCTGATGTGTGAGCCTGGGCTAAGAGCTGAAATTTAATTTAGCTAACAAGGTGGGTTTTGAGCATTCGTGCTGTAGTGTCATTATGTCCAACGTGGCTTTGATTGCGTGAGCTTAACTTTGGCTTGTGAGGGGCTCTCGAATCTGGGTTCCATTCTGAGGAACAAGATTACCCGCCTGGGGAACCTGAAAGCTCTTTGGAAGCCTGAAGCTATCCATTAACGACTCACTTCCTCCTGCTGTAACCCTGGTAGATCGGAAGTGACCCAAACAGGTTGCAGTTCT